AGCCCTCACACTGAAATACCCTTTGACCCTCTTTGCACAGGTGCCCTGGGTAGTGAGCCACCAGAAATGCAATCTGGGCCTTCTCCTGATAGGGAGGTATTCTCAGTCTCCTCCCACCCTGGCTGACCATTGTGCACTTGCTCCTTGCAGGACAGATGAGAAATGCCTTCTTGTTTGGCCAGTGGCTTTGCTCGCTGGTTCTGGGGGGCATTCCCTGGTGCCCAGCTCTGGCCCTGCTCCAACACTTGGCCCCCTGCTGAACTCCGCCTATGGTTCAGTGCTGACATCCCTCCCTGCTTAAAGAACAGCATGTTGGGGGACCGGTTCAGCAAAAACTTCTCCATGGTATGTTAGTGCTCTGTGTGCAGTGCTCAGACTCCTCTAGACATTGGACTACAACCCCCATCATTCCCACATTGGAACACTCCCATTGCTTGCAGCCGAAATGGCACTATACAGAAAAGGCTTTACTGTGTTATTTGAATGATCAAGCAAAATGGTCTCTTTACACTGATGAAGGATCTCAATCAAAATGGTTAAAGGGTAATTGCCCGATAAGTAGGAGGGGACCTGGCATTTGGTGTACATTCCCTTCACGACAATAGGAATACTAAAAATGGATAAAAATAGGGTATTTCCTTGTCTGCTGACTGAAAGGAAGACTAAGGTCTATAGCGGATATGTTTGTGAAGTCATGACCAAGTCATGTGAAAATCTCTTAACAAGAAATGAAGACTAGAAGTGAAGTACGGGGATGATCAGGATGGTAAGAGATCCGGAAGCCAACTCCTATGAGGAGCAGTTGAAATGGGTACATTTAGACTGGTGAAGAGAAGATGCTGAAACATGATAACTATTCTTAATGCTCTAGAGGACAAGGTTAAAACCAATAGGTAGAACTAGCGGGAAGTAAATTTGCTTAAATATTAGAAGGTATGTTACAATGATAGGTACTCTTCATTAGTAAATAACCTTGGAAGATGGAGGTCTCCTTCAACAGATGAATTTACACAGAGGATAGTCAGTCACCCCTCAGAGATGCTGGAGCTGCAACATGCATTGATGATAGCATATTGAGCATTGGTTGGACTAGACGACCTCCCAGGTCTGTTTCAACTGCTGTGTTTCAATGATACCGTCTTCTGGTCATCAAGCACACATCTTGTATCAAGTCAATCTTGAATCATTCCAATGAAGTTAGTGATCTACTAACGTGTTACAAGGTTAACAGTGGTATTTATAGGGAGAGATGCCTGCATCATGCATCTCATACTTCTAGGTGTGGTGCCTGTAAATCGGTTATTAAGTTGAGTGCATCTGCTTTGCAATCCATAAGGCATCTTCCAAAGAATGGAGACCAGTCATGACTCCCTAATTTCTAGTACCTAGTATGTTGTTATGTTATTGTTGATGAAGATGGTGTTTTAGCAATTCAGCATCTATTGTGAATGAAATCATCAGAGTTTTCAGCTGGGCCAGCTGCTTGTTACCAAACTAAATATAGGCAGTGGAGAGCATCTGAAATATGCCAAGCAGTTTCTTGTAAAGGTTCAACTTGTGCACGGAAAGAAATGTTGGGTACTGGGAGAAGGATGTGGAATGCAAGAAGTATCTGGAATGTAAAGTTCTAGGAGAAATATTTGAAGAATTAGGAAATAGTCAGCTCCTGCTTATACTTTAGAAGCTGTCTTCCATCCGTATTCTGTGGCTGCAACAGCAACAGGGGTAGAGAGCACTTTGGGGTGGGGTAAGGTGGGTGGCACAACTCTGGAAGGATGCTGGTCCCTGTTCAGATGTTAGCATGTGTAGTTGGCTCTTAAGATGGGCTTTTTTTCAAGAGGATGCACCTGAACACACCAGTTGCTGAGGAACATGGGCAGGAGGACATATTGCTTATGGGCTTTTCACATACATCTGGATGATCACGTGGGCAGGCCTTCAGTCTGATCCACTCTGGCTCTTCCTTTGTTTTTAACCGTGGACATCATTATTGAGCACATATCATAATACAGAAGTTTGGGGAAATGATACAGGCTACTATCAAGAACACTATGAAATAAGTAACATTTTGACCCTTCACCAGTACTGTTAGGCTATATTAATGATCAGGCTATAACATACTAAAACTAATATTTGAGTGATAAGTGAAAAGATGGAAATCTATCAAAAAACCTATGCAAGGGAACTGGGTTTTAAAAGCGGGATGTTTCTTAATAATGGATAGATTAGATTAGATTAGATTAGGATAGCAAATTATGGCTTGACAAGGGAGGCAAGAACCTAATTGTTTAATGGAAAGTTAATATATGCAGAAATAGAATCCTGTATTTGGAAATTAGACCTGTGATCTGGGACAAATGAAATAAGTAACATTATTTGTTAATTGGGTTGTTTGTGAGTGTGTGGGAGTGAACAAGCATGCCCACTTACTTATGTCCACTTTCAATAATAACCCAGAAATGGCCCCATTCCTAGGAGGTTTCATGATGCAGGAACCCATAAATTCTGCATGCTTTAGGGGCTACCTATGGTTTTTGCAGGATTAACTCTGGGTTGTTCAAGACCTGAACAACCCAGTTTTAGGTTTGGACAGTACAAACATTTGCACCTGGATGTTTTTGTGCACCTTAGCCATTTTATGGGTCATGACAATCCCCAAATCTGCAATAATATATAAGCTAAGTTAACATGTTCTTCCAGTTGCAGCTTACTGTGAATGAAAGGATTCCATTCCATCCATTTGTAGAAGCATCTCTAATCTGGGGAAGCCTTTATATACAGAAGAGTAAGGGAGGTAATTTTCACTGATTTGCCACCAAGCCCCCCATGCCCTCTTCTGTGCTGTTCTGGAAGATCTTACAACACTGTGCAGAAGATTTTCGAGAGGCCTAGGAGGGATCAGCAAAAGTTACAGTCTTCTCTTCTGTTAACCCAGGCCTCCACTGGATCAAAGGTCCAGAAAAAAGGGGGCCCAGTTGGATGGAACAACTTACTCCAAAATGATACTGGATTCTTTGTGTTCAGTTCACTTGCATTGCAGGTAAGAAACATTCTTCCTTATCGGAGTATTAGTACCTGTAAACTACGTCCGAGGCTCAGAGTGACTGTCAACCTAGTCTTTTATTTGCTGGGTCAGGGATGGACCACCATTTTTGGTCTGAGGACCAGAATGCCTCCCAGGACACCTCCTAAAGGTCACCTCACAGCAGGCTGGAGATCCACCCATCTTCCCAGAAACACACACAGAGAGGCACAACACGTTAATACATAATACCTGACCCACACTCACACACACACACTAATCATATTCATGCCTTGCTATGAATGGAGAAAAGAATAGTTGTTTTCTCTCTGTACAGAAAGGCATGGAAACTAGCTGGTGATCGGAGGAAGAAACCTGCATTCTTTCTCCATTGCTAGATCACTCCATTTTCATCTCTCTGCTCAGGAAAAAGGGCAGCCCCTGTGAACAGAGGGGTAGAGAAGCAATCTTGCACAGAGAAAGGAGCTGATCCTTTGGCCTTGTGTAAGAGCAAAAGGACCACCCAGGTGAGGAGGCCTTGTGGGCCAACATGGGCATATGGGGTGTTGGTTGGTTATCCATCCCTAGTTAGACAGATTTACATGTATTCCTGGACCATATCACTCCAGGGTGAGCATACAGGCCTCACTGAAGGCTTTAAACTGTCCCAGGTTGGAGCAAAAGTGTTGTTCTTGTTTCTGTGTTCTTGGATGCCTAATTTGCACTATTTCTCTCTGCATCCTGAAGTACTGACCCTTCCTTTACCACTCAGCCAGAATAACTGTTTATTCCTCAATAATGATAGCATTTTCATTTCAAAACTTTTAAAGTTTCAACATGTTCCAGCAGCAGGAGATAAGTCAGACTCCTGGATATGGTTTTTATCACCTCTCAGATCACAAAAAACTACTCTATTATACTAAGTCCTTGAGAAAGTTGTACTGTTCATGTCTGGTATGCAACCATGCACCAGCAGCTCCGCGCCAACACTGCAACATTCCAAAAGGCCTTGATAAATATTTAGGAGAGGAACATTTTGACACGATTTTATGTTGCCATCAATAACACTGTGTCTAATAACTACTGAATGCCATAGGAATAAAAAAGAGGTGTCCAGGATGCAACAGCAAAATATTTTACTTATTTACAATTCTCTGAAAGGTAGTGAAGCAACTCTTGAGTTATATGGACTTGCTAGCTATGCAGAAATAGTTTCAGTCTAAACAGAAAGCAACTAAGGGCATAAGCATCAGTTCTTAAACTATGATTTATCACACATGACTTATTTCACACGCGAAAAAGAGTTTTAGAAAATAGATCAGCATCTTCAAGCTTCACTGGATGCCATTTTAGTTTAAGAATAGAACGTCCTTGGTATGATTTGATCACAGCATGATTTTATTTCATACACCAATCAAGGACATACTCTGCAATATATATCAAAACCCTTCCTCAGATTATGGAAAATAAACTAAATATAATTAAGGAAGAAAACCTCCAACTAGCCCATGAATTTCACCTATATTTTTTCCCTATAGTACAGGGAAATATTGATATATGTTAAATTTACTACCCTCTGTGAAGAACTAGATTTAAATTTGACATATTTTTTCTTTATCATTGGAAAATTAATGTTTTTTTTATATTTAAAAAGGCAAAAAAGAAAGAGGGTAAGACATTGTAGGACATTCCTGATGGATGCTACATTCCAGCCCACCTGATCCTCACAGGCAACATGGCACCTGCTCGGAGCTAGCACTGATTTCCCACACATGCCATGAGCACAGGACAAGAAAAAGACACACAAAATCCACACACAGGTGACCAATTCTCGTTCTTTGTCTACTGCTTGCAGAATACGTAGTCAGTCAGTCTTCCAGAAATTTGCATTCTTGGTTGAGCTTTGGCTCCCTTTTCCCAAAGGCCTATGATTCCTGCCAGCATAATTACACCAACTAGAGAGCTGTGTGGATCTTACGTTTTGCATGGCATCCTGATACTGTGGTAGTGACGACAGCTGTGACTCGGAGTGGTATGGGGATAACCCCTTCCTCAGAGTCCTGAAATCCCCAGAACTGGATTGCTGCAAGAGAGAGAGAGAGAAATGGTACAGTGGTTTAAGCCCAGTATCAGAAAATGAAACTCTATTCTACTTTCAGTCCTTTGTCACACCCTAAATTGCCTTGCTCAATAACACATACAACGTAACAGATCTGGGTTGTACCAGTTGATGGAGATGCTGTTAAAAGAAGATATCCATCAGCAGAATAGGAAGGCAGGCAGGGTTGGAAAATTCTCTCCTGCCCCAGTTACATCCTCCTAAATCTGCTTCAGAGGTTGGGGAATCCTTCTAAGCATATTTGCGGGGAGGCTGCAGGGTAGAAGGGGAACTGCTGAAAATCATGTCTGTCTCTATTCCATTGAGGGAAGCCTTCTGTCAGCAAAGGGATTTAATTGGGTTCCACCTCAAAAAAAAATCTCATTTATATCCAGAGCTTTGACAATGGAATGGAATATAAAATGTATTTTAAAATATTTTCTTCTTCTTCTTAACTGAAAACCATTTTCAAGCAATTAAAAGGCATTCTTTGTAAACTTCCACATTCACTTGAGCACTAGAAAGCTTTTATTTATTTTAAGTCTTCCAAATTTGGGCAGCTTTTACAAAAGAATTAATATGAGATATTTTTGCATGTCAGGTGTGTTTGAGTAAGGCCAGGCTCCTATGTTATGATTCAGAAACTATGAAAAGTATGTAAAGGAATGTATGTATCTTTCAGAATCCTTCTTATCTTCTTTACTGAAGAATAGTTAGGGCATTGAGTTGCAAGGATTATATTTCTGAAAGCCACCTGCATCAGGCTTTCTGATGCTATTACCATCACTCAATGAACAGTAAGTGCTTTTTAAATATTGACTTACTGATTGAACCTCATGCAAGTTCAGTGGTGACAGGGACTTTGTGAGAAAAAGGAAGTTATGAAAACACATATACAGCCTTTTCCAACCTGGTGCCGTCCAGATGTGTTGGAGAACACCTCCTATCAATCACCTCCCATGACCAGGATGGCTGAGGATGATGGGAATCATAGTCCAAACCCATCTGGAGAGGGTGTTAATTGGGGAAGGGTGCACTAAACAGAGAAACAGGCCAGGTACAATCTTAATCCTGTATAAATTATGATTTGCAGATTGGGGGTCTGCTTTAAGAATATGCTCTCTTCTTCCCTTCTTTCACTCAGTGGTCTTAACCACAATATAGCCTTGAAGACATGCTGATATCAACTTGTCAACATTAACTAGATATATGTCTAGCTAACTCCAGTTTACAAACCCATCTCAAATTTGGGCTCCGTGAATTGTCTGGAAACATCAGTTGTTGCTGTGTCTCTGAGGCTGAACAGCTACTCTGGGAGCCACAGGTAAGTGTTGAATGTACATAAAGAAATCTTATTTTTAAAGGGATAAATATAGGATCCTAGTTCATGTCAGCATAGAATCAACACCAATTTGCGGTTAAGGAATAGAAGGGCAACAAGGGTTGGAGTGCACATTCCTAAGCCGGGGTTGTGATTTTTTTAAACTAATCTGCAAGAAACTGGCAATACCCATGTCCTAAAACATAATGTCAGATCTCAGGCATGTTTCCAGCAAACAGGCAAACATAAGGTCATCCATGAGATTTGCAGGAACGAGCTTGCACTGTATCCCTGTCCCATGAGAAATATCACTCCTCACAGATGGCATATGCCATCTGCACCGAAGCTTGCTTGCTTGCTTTATTTATTTATTTATTGCCTTTGTATCCCACCTTTACAGTGTCTCAGGGTGGCAATAACATAAATAAGACACAGCATCACAAATAATGTATAAAATCAATATTTAAAAAACAGTAACATTTGAAATACTGGGAAAATAAAAAAGTTTTGACCTGACGCCAAAATGAAAAAAGCATTGGCACCAGGCACCCCTCTCTGGGGAGCCCATTCCATTCCATAGCTGGGGTGACACCACAGAGAAGGCCCTTCTCCAGGCAGCCTCTCTTCTGATCTCCTTCAAAGAGGGCTCCCAAAGAAGGGTCTCTGCTCCAGATCTTAGAGGCTGGGCAAGTATATATGGAAGGAAGCACTTCCTCAAATATACAGGCCCTAAGCTGTTTAGGGTTTTATAAGTCATCACTAGCTCCTTAAATTGGGTCCGGACTTCAACTGGAAGCCAGCATTAGGCTACAGAAGCCCCCTTTCTTAGGGTGGCCTATCTTCCTTGGGAAGGCAGATCCAAACATTTAAGTTAGGGAAGGTATTTCTCCTAGGGAGAAACAGGGAAGATGATCTCCTGGTGGCTGAGATGTTATTTTCTTTGAGCAACTTCTGGCTGTAGCTGGATCCGGCTGTTGTTTGCTTTTCATATTGCATGGATTACAACTTTCCTTAGTATAAATTATAGTATTACACATGTTCTATTTGTCCCTATTTATCAGGCCTGATCTTGTTGTTACAGGCCATTGAGTCGTCTCCGAGTGCCCTCAAAAATGTCCTTGACAGCTCAGCTCAGCTCAGCTCTTGTACACTCAAGGCTGTGCTTCATTTACACACAATTCCCATTTTCTACACCAATCACTAATAAAGAATGTATTTATTACTGCATTCTATGTTTTGTTGTATTCATAGAGTCATAGATACACAAAAATATGCACACAGATTTATAAATAAAGATCTAAAAAAAAGATCAATAATCAATTATGGCAATAAGATTAATGGAATCCCACAAAAACAGTTCAGCTGTACATACAGAAACAATACAGACACCTCAATGTTTTGACCACAACTCAGATTTTTGGTGGCGAGTTCTGTGGCAATTTACTTTCCACTAAGAAGCTAACACCCACTACTTTAACTGTACAGTGCAGCTTTTTTCACCCTGCTGCCCTCTAGATGTTCTGGGCTTCAACTCCCACCATCCCCAACCAGCATGGCCAAGGGTGAGGAACACTAAGAATTGTAATCTAGACATCTGGAGGGCACTGCATTGGGAATGCTGGAAAGTATGTAGCTGAGTATAACCTTTAAAAAAACCCCTCCAGATCAAGTGTGCCCTTCCCGAGACCACCACGCAGCATCAGGCGTAGGGGTAAAATGTCCCACACAGATTTTTGCCTGAAATCCCCACACCACAAGTTGGGGATTTGAAAAGGAAAAACAGCCTCCATTAGAGTCAAGAGAGACTTCTTGTGTCAACTCTGGCCAGGATGTCTCCAACTGTATTTTATTGTATTAATGTTATTTATTTATTTGTAAGCTGCCCCGAGGCTTAGGCGAATGGGACGGCATATAAGTCCGCTAAATAAATAAATAAATAAATAAACCCTGGAATGTAATGGAAAAGGGGATATTTCAGAGGAAATAATGGTTGAAAGTAAGGTGTGATCCTCCCTTTGGGCAATGGTTCTCATCCAAACTGGAGCTGCACACAGCAGAAATATTAAAAAGATACTGGAGTATTCTTAGAGCAAAGGAATAGGCTGCATGCTACATAATCAACATCAATTTGACTTGACCCTGATATGTTCTGAGAGCAAGCTGCGTGCCACAGGCCATGAGAACCCATTAACGAAAGGGTGAGATCATACACAAAACTTTCTGTGCAAACGCCACCTCATGAAATGTATGCCACAGTCTGCTGCAGCCAACCAAATGCTCTGCCCTTTTACCCAGCCCTTTCTCTTCTCTGCATGCACTCAAGAAACCAGCTATCAAGGCCGTGGACTCATAATAACTTTCAGAGTGTCAGAAAATGGTACACAGCAATCTGAGCTGTGCGTGTGAGACTGCAAAGGCAGCTGCATATGTCCTGCCAGACTCCAGGATAACAAAACTAAACAGAACAGCAGGGAGTTTAATTCCTCCTCCCTTCATTTCTGGAGTGCTGACAAAAGATCCATGCCACTTATTTATGTAACAGCCTTCACCAAATTTGGTATTGAGGCAGTTTACAGCATTAAAACAACTATATAATGAAAATTTAAAATCCAAGAGCAACTGGCAAGATTTTTGAATGCCTAAAATGTTTGGAAATGCAAGGATTTTTGCTTGGCACCTAGAAGAAGTGTTTTGGAATCAGGTGAGCCTTCCTGGAGAGGTGTTCCATTGACAGGGTGCCATGGGCCAAAAGGGCTTCTCTCCAATTGCTGCCTGTTTCACCTCTGATAAGGAGGGAACCAAGAGGAGCCCCTCACCTGGCACTGTGAGAATTCAGTCAGGAGAACATGGGAGAAGACCCTCCTTCAGGTGCAAAGATGCCAAGTGATACAGGGCTTTAACCTAGTGATGCTCTCACTACATTTTTCCACTTGTTACCTTTGGGCAACAGACTGCACACTGCATTATGCAAGTGGAATGTGTGATGGGTTGCACAATGGATTGCACAAGAGCTTGCACATTGGGTTGAACAACTGGAGTGCACAAGCCAGCTTGTGTAACATCAGCATGTGTCTCCTCTGCTGAGCACAGAGTTCAGAACCTAGTCAATATTACTGCAATGTCAGTCAAAGCTTTCCAAGTAAGGAAGGTTGTGGACTGTTCATTCCTAGAACCCTATAACTACACAGACAACAATCCCATGTAGTAAATCCCACTGAAATCAGTGGAGCTTACTTCTCAACAGAGTTGGGCTGCCTCTTCTCCCCAGCTAATTGACATGAACTGCCCTGTGGGAAGGAAGGAGGACTGAGGGAGTTCCTGACAGGCAAAAGGGATGTCAAGGCCTGCTTCAGTGGAATTGTCCCCCACCTCCACTCCCAGGGCTAAATGACATCAACTGCTTTGTTGATGCCTCTTGGCTGCTACTCAAATGGAAGTGGCTACAGTCAGTTCTGAGAGCAATGTTCTTGCCAGAAATATTCTAAGCCACTTCAAGAGCTTCACTCAAAAACTGGCATTAAAATCTGCTAAATACACATATAATGACTACATAAGGAATAATATACCTGCTGCCTCTTACATTTCTCTATTCTAAGCCCAATTCTGTCCAGGTTTTCTGTCTCCCTGTTTTTGATCCAAGTTTGTTGACGAACAGCTATGCTTC